TGTCTCCGGGAAGGGAGGCCCGGGCCCCCTGTTCGCGTGGATAAAGCCCGGCCGGAGGAGCGGGTCTCTAGTGGCCTTACTTACAGATTCGGCCTCCGCTGTATTATCTGCAGTCGGCTGGAGACCTTTTTTTTTCCTTTTTGTTTTTGGCGGGTTGTTCAGCTTTTAATTGTGTTGCGTTTACAGGGCTGATTTACACGTTAAAGCAGACATTTATCTGACACGGTGGCATCGCCTTTTCGCTGTGCACGCTCCTTGTCTCTCCCTCCGGGAAATGGGGAGTGCATGCTGGATGGGCTCGCTCTGTGATGCTCGTTAACCAAGTGGGTTCGCCTTGCACTGTAGTGGGAATAAGCAAGTGTGTCTGTCTGATTTCCTTTTCCTGTTTACACCTACATTGGGTGTCTCTTACTTTTCTTTACCAAAACCACCCCCACAGTAAATAAAAAAGAAAACTTGCAGCTATTTTGTTGTTTGTTAAATAAGAACCAAGGTGAGTGGGGGATTTGAAAAGAGAAATCTTTTTTAATGCCTCGGTTTGTGGATGTTTTATTTTATGGTCACTTTAGAGTTGCTTAACATCTCAGTGTTGCCCAAACTGACGATGCCTTATCTGTCTGTCTGTCCCCCTCCTCCTCTCTGCCGTCCCTGCTGGCTGGGACCGCCGGACCGCCCCGCGTCTGTCTTCAGGAGCTGGATGAGGTACTGTGTCCTGACTCTGTGCGCCCGTCAGTTTAGTTGCTAAGCCGGAATCTGCTGCTCCGGAGTCTGTGCTCAACCGAGTCCAGATGAGTTCTAGTGTTTGCCCCGACCGATTGGCGGCGATAATCCTGTTTCGGTGGACTGCATCTCCACCCCACATGTCCTGGTGGTCCCCAGAAGGCGGTAGGAGCGTTACTAATGACTCCTGGGACAGTGCCCCGACTTGGAAGCCACTAAGGGCAGAGATGTTCTTGACCCGCATACACCCCAGGCCCGGTTCTGCCCTTGGCTCCCAAGGAGTGCTTGGGGGTGATGGAGGGAGGGGAAGCCCCTGGGACAGGTGGAGGGCCTCAAGGCTAGGCTGCTGAGCCGGTCACTACCTGGACCCCTGCCCTGCCCCTTCCTCACAGTGCTCTGGCCTTGTCCTCTCTCATTCCCTCTCCCCCGGACGGTGGGAGGGAGAGCCCGTCGCTGCACGTCATTTTAGTAGCACGGATGCAAGGGTTGCAGGGAAGGGGGAATTACACGAGGTTGCCACTGTTTGTGTGTTTTTAGCATGTTTCCTTGATAGGGGGACATGAATACATTTCCTGGGAGGAAAGGTTTTAAAAAGTGATAGGAGTGTGTGGGGGTGTTTGTTTGTTTGTTTGTTTGAATCTAGCAGATGAGAGTGGGGTGAAGTAGGCTCAAGCAGTTGTCAGCTAGTCCATTGCGATGCAAAGGCTTGGAGTCAAAGGGCCCTCACGTCCAAGGCTATCCCCTGGACCTGCCCTCTCTCCTGGTGGAAGCAGACCGCCCCGTCTGTCTCTTTCTCCTGAGGGGCAGTGGGTAGGTGTGAACTGCCAGCCTCTCAGTTTAGCAGCCAAGGCTGAAGCACTGTGCCCCCAGGGCCCCTTGGGGCAGGGTCCCTCCCTTCAACAGCAGATGGGGTGCCCTCGTTGGTGGATGAAGGTCGGTCAGTGAGTTCTCAAATGGTGCACCTGGGTTGACGAGGGCAGCAGGCTGTGGACAGCAGTTTGCACCAGCCAGAGGGCGGTGCTGTAAGCCTCTGGCCTGGAGGGCGGTCTGCAAAGGCTGTGAAGGTTTGGGTCCCCAGCCAGGCCGTCAAGTGACAGGGATGCTCAGTGCCAAGTGGCGCTCCTAAGGGGATCTACCCCAGCTGCCGAAAAGACCCACAGCAAACGTGACCCTGCAGGAAAGCGAGAAGCTTTCTGTGTGTGTGAATGACAACTGCCCACCTTGACGACCACCGGGGTCGTTTGTTGTCATTGTCTCCCACTGCCGGCTCGCAGAGGTTTGTGCTGACCGTTTCCTGTGGTCCTTCCAGAAGACTGAACTACAAGACAGGGGTCTGTATTACTGCCATTGGGTTTCAAAGGAGCCTTTAGCATCAGGCAGGTGGCTGAGCGAGCCCTGAGCTGGGGATACTTGAGCCAGAGGGAGTCTGTGCCCACGTGACACCCCGGGACCCTGGATGGGGTCCGGGGCAGGGTGGAGGCAGCCAGCCCTATGCCCACACAGCCAAGTTGTAGATCTCTGGGGTGCAGTGGGCACCCAGATTTAGGGTGAGCAGAGGCTTAGGGCAGTACCTCTAGGATAGATGCTGTCCTTTACTGAGCAGTTTCAAGATGTGGCCCTTGGGGAGCCCCCCCCCTCAAAGGAAGAGTCTGATGGGTGACCGCCAACATCAGCCCCGCTTTCTCAGCAGCAGTATCTGGGTCTTTTTAGGCTGGAGGGCACCTACGTGGATTGACCTCCCGAAGCACCGTCCGGCCTCCCCTACCGGGGACCGCAGCTCCTGAGCTGCCCACCCAACATGCGCTCCTCTGCCCACAGCCTACCCTCACGTGGAAGTAGGGGTGTGTGTGGAAGTAGAGGGGTGTGTGCGGCAGCCCTGCACTCAGCCCTAGTGTGTCCATGCGGGGTTCTCGGGCCACTGCCCACCGGCGGAACTCTCCCGTGCCTGGTTTTTGATCGGCAAGCATGGCTTCCTGGAGTGACCACAGCAAGCATTTTGACCACCTCGTGTGCCCGCCCGTCGTCAAGGGTGGGTGCTGGCACTCAGCTAATGATCCTTGTGCTCCATGACCGCTGGGTGCCACGCTGCCCACAGGCTGGCCTCGCCGTAATCGGCAGTCCTCCCTGAGCGGGCCACCGGGGGCTTCCTGCCCCCTGCCCGCATGTGCAAGTCTCCTACTCCAGTGGGGGCAGGAAGCTGCCCCTCCTGGAGCCCCTGCTCATTCTCCCCAGAAAGGCTTCGGCGGGTGCTCAGCCAGCATTGGGCTGCGTGTGAACCTGAGGGTCTGGAGTTTGAACTCGCCAGCCACCTTGTAGGAGGAGGGGGAGGCTCCTGTAAAGGTTCACAGACTGGGAAGCCCCACAGGGTGGTTCCGAGCCACTGTCCCTGCTCCACCCCAGGGAGCCCCTAGAGCAGCGCTTCTCGACCCTGTAACACAGCTCCTCGTGTCCTGGTGACCCCCAGCCATAACGTCATTTTCGTTGCTACTTCATAACTAATTTTGCTGCTGGTATGATCAGGTGACCCCTGTGAAAGGGTCGTTTGACCCCCAAAGGGGTTGCGACCCACAGGTGGGGAACCGCTGTCCTCAGTGGTGAGGCTTTGCGTACTTTAAAACGACCCAAGGTAAAGTAAACCCAACAAGCCCCGGTGGCCCGTTGCCGTGGGGAGCAGGATGGTGGGGGCAAGTCAGCCCCAGGGAGACAGGAGTGACTGCCCCCCGATATTCTCTTGAGAGGGGAAATGGGGATACTAGTGACATTTATACGAAGGCAATGTGGCACCAATCATCAGGAAAAAGGAACTTTTTAGTTGTTATTGTTTTTGAAGGGTAGCAGGTTAGAAACTAATAGAACTCAGTGTTGACCCTTCATCCTTGTCCTCCGTGCCCTGGCCCCAGCCTAGTGGTCTGTGCTGGGGCCTCACTGGGGGCCATACTGGGCGGCCCTGCCCGGCGTCGATCTGTGTGGAGGGGCTTTGCATTTGCTCCATCGTGGGGAGTATCAGGAGTGGTCTGCCCCTGCACAGAGTCGCTGTGTCAGAAGCCCACAGGGGCCCTTCTGTCCTGGCCTCTAGGGTCGCCGTGGGCAGAGTGGACTTGCCAGCAGTGGGGTTTTGCTTGAGAGGTGGGAACTGGATCATTCCTGCCAGAGGCTGGGCTCGTCACCAGGGGGGCCTCAGATTCAGGAGTGTGGACATGTCCGTGGGCACACATGTTGCACAGGTCAGGAACAGCGCTGCACTGTCCTTCAGTACCCCTACTTTGAGTGAACCCAGGGCCCAAGAGGGCCTTAGTGAG